GCCGCGGTGGCGAGAGATCCTGCGAACTCTCTGTCCCATACGGCTCGAGGAGGGTTGCAGAGGAAAATGTTCCAGAATATGGAGGCAAGGACGAATGCCACCAAAGTGCCGAGGAAGATGTCCGCTAGGATCCTCCAGGTCTTAAAGGCTGTATCGACGAGTCGGCGGATGAAGAGTGTGATTGAGATTTTGATGATGCCCACCGTCGGGTAGTATATGATCTTGCAGATGGTGAGGTAGTATGAGTAGAATTGGTAGTCGTCATAGGTGTTTTCCCAGGTGTGAAGGCCGCCGCCAGCGTCGACGACAACGAGAATCTGAAGAATCGGGTAGACCAGTGCGAGGATCTGGCAAGTCATCAGCATGAGTCCCTCTTCATGCACTTCAGGGACAGCTTGGAAGAGTTCCAACTCACCGAAGCTGCAACGATCACCCAGTCATCCCAACCAAATTTCGTCTGCGTTCCTCTCCATTTCACAATCAACCTTCCAGTCGTCGGTACCACGATAGCAAGCATCACGATCACCATGCCCGCAATGATGGCGCCCTGTTTCGATTCGTGAACCGCGTTCGCTGGCTCCTGGGCGGCGAAGATGTAACCCAGAGCAGGGTCGAGCGTCGTGACTCCATATTGCCGGTAGATCCCCCTAATGACATTGTAATCCCTGGTGTTGTTGGGCGGCTTCCCGATCTTCGCGGAGGCCGTGCTGCTGTTCGACATGGCGAGAAACAAGTCGTCCAACTACGCGAGCTCAACATGCAAAGAGGAGACCCGCGACGGGAGCGGGCGGCCGGTCCGCTTTATGCAGCTTTCTTTCGAGATGGGCTGAACTGCTCCAAATTATTTTCAGTGTATCAAGGCCAGACGCGCGGGCTAGCATGGTTTCACATCGTGGGAAACCCGGCCTGCTTTGATCTTCAGCATCGCTTACCGGTTGCGAGGTCCCGGGATCGTGGGAGGGTCGTATCGACAAGAATTTCGTAACTGCGGGATTAGCATGGGGGAAGAGCCGGTGTTTGGGTATTCTTGGAAAAGCCCGCGATAACCATTCAGCTGCCATGCTGTGCAGATTAAGCTACAAGGACAAGGTTGGCTCTGGTGCGGGCAGGTGTGGTGAGAATGAGTCGATGGCGAGTCATGGATGCCAGTGGGTGTTCGCAAACATCGCAGAGAACCGCAGGCCTCGGCCCCTCGCTTCTGCAAGTGGGAGGCACAGCCAATAACAGTCTGATGGCGTCAAAGATCGGAGAAGACCCAACATGCACTGGGGAACTGTGAAAAGAGGTTCACATGGTTCTTCCCGGCTTGTCACTCCGCCTTGCGAGGACGGCAGGCAGGGGTTTTGCTCTTGGCGATGTTCGGTTGGGTAACACCTCCGACCGGCGTTCTCCCGGTGCCGTCTCGTTCCCCGAAATTGCCCTGCACGAGGTTCTTGGCCTGGGGACCGCAATTTGGGGGATCGGTCTGCCTCGATTCGGACCAACACAGAAACGAACAAGTCCCAGCGTTTAGCGTATATTAACAGTCGTTCTCGTTCGTAAGAGCCCCAGAAACATGAGGAAAAGAAAGAGGGGGAAAACCTGCTGATGTATTTGCCGCCGCTCGTGTCTCCGCGCTGGACATTCTGTGCGCGCTCTTAGTGCGACTTCTGGCCCTCTTTGGCGTGTGTCAACTCTTCTTCAAACTCGACGCTCGCCCACGACAATCAGGAGCCATGGTCCGACTTTCGGCACTCTCCGCGGTCGCATTGGCTGCCGCTGGCGCCGCTGCAGGTGCCGACTGCACCGGCGTAAACGCTGTCAGCTCAAAGTGCAGCCCTCAGGAAAGTCTGCATCATCGAGAGTTCTTCTACGTGGGAGGCCAGAGCGCACCGGACCCGACAGGAAACATCACAATTGGTAGGAGAATGCAGCCTTTGGGATAAGGAGCTCCATCCACGTTTTTCTAACCTTTTCATCGTCATAGGCCAGATCTATGTCGAGAAGCTTACGCCCATCATTAAAGTTCGGTCAACCCCTCTTGTCTTCCTCCACGGCGGTGGCATCTCCGCCACCACATGGCTCAACACCCCTGACAACCGCCCGGGGTGGGCGACTTACTTCCTGCAGAAGGGATATCAGATTTATCTGATCGACGCGAACAGCATCGGACGGTCCACCGCTAACAACCCGGCGAACTTCACCATGAATGTGGGCATGTCGGTGGAGTACGTCGAGATGGGTTTCACAGGTGTCAAGGAATACAACACCTATCCTCAATCCCAACTGCATACACAGTGGCCTGGCACCGGCTTGAGAGGCGACCCTACTTTCGACCAGTTCCAGCAAAGCTTCATCCCGTACACAAGTAGTTATGTTTCCCAGGAGCTGGCCATCCGCACCGCTGGCTGCGAGTTGCTGTCTCTCATCGGCGCCAAGTCGTACCTGGTGTCACATTCACTGGGTTCCAAGCTCGCTCTCGTCATCTCCAACGATTGCCCTCAATATCTGGCCGGCAGCATCAACCTCGAGCCATCGACAATTCCTTTCTGGGCCTACGGCTATGGGCTTGGGGGCCGCTCTGCCAATCCGTGGGGTCTCACGAACACTCAAGTCGACTACGAGCCCGCGGTCGCGGACTCGGCCGAGCTGGCAGATGAGATCGAGTCTGTGGGCAATGAGACATTGGCGCTTCGCAACTGCTACCGCCAGAAGGAACCGGCTCGCCAGCTTCCCAAGATCTCCAGCGTGCCTTATGTGGCATTGACGGGAGAGGCCAGTGTGCACATTACCTACGATCACTGTATCATCGACTATCTGAAGCAAGTCGGAGGGGAACCCGAGTGGATCAAGTTGGGTGACATTGGTATCAAGGGCAACGGCCACTTTGGTCACCTTGAGATGAACAACCTCGACATTGCATCTGTCGTTCACGGATGGGTCAAAAAGAAGCAAGGCTGGTGGTGGTAATTCGGGTCAGCCCTATTTCTCAGTACATATTTCCATACTGTACATACGTCTAGCACGTAATCTTAATATTCCCCTATGTTAGCAATATTGAAACGCTTGTCGTGGAGGAACGCAGGCCACAAGGCCAAGAGAATGGGACGCCGAATCATGAAGGTGGCCTTGAACGTAGCATCGGCAAAAATTCAGTTTGGCCGATCGCGTTGGTCATCCAGGCCGGCCTTCTGCCAACTTAATATTTTATACTACTTCTTCGCATGGCCTAGACGTTTCAGTCTATGCGTTGACTCGCTGCGCATTGTGCACCTATTTTTGGGTTTGCCATCGGTTGATAATATTTGACAATTTTGACAATGTTCTCCGAATAGGAAATTTCCTTGCTCGTAGATAGATCACCCCACGTGGTGCCACTGCACTCTCGCACTATCGCACTATTTTAGGTGTGTCAAATAGCTCTATCATGCAACACAGAGAGTGCACTCGGTATCAGCGGCTTATGGGTTGAAGAAAACGGAACGCATGATCATTTTGTTCTTTACGATAATTGTCCATGCCACATACAGTTTCTAAGCATGCCTACGAAGGGATAACTCAACCCAACCGCAGCTCTACACATGGCACTCGCTCAGCCTCTTCCTCCACGTCATCATCGTTGCTGCTGGTTGCCTAGCCACGCTAATTAGAGCGGTGATCATGGTTGAAGCTTATAACTGGCTGCGTACGAAACATTTTTCAGCTGAAGACATTCGATCTGATAAGATCAATTTGCCTCAGAAGGATCATCACAGCCACATTTAAGGCTACATGGAGCCTGCATCCTGCGGGATGGCCCGGTGAGCCGTCCGTCGCCTACATCGGGGGGCTGTGGATCAATTGGTGCCTGGCGAGGCACAGAAGATCGGCATGGAGCTAAGCTATCAAGCGAAATGCTCTCTCAGTTTAGGCGCCTGTGAAATGGACTTTGGTTTTCATTCGTGCATTCGCATTAAAGCCCGCTGAGAGAAGTGTCTGCCATCCGCCGATATCCGGAATGAGACTCAGCTCAACTGTGAAGTATCTTATCTTGCCTGATGATCAGTCCTCAGCCTTCGCCAAGACCCCAATAGAGCTAGACAGCGGATCGCTAACGAAACAGGACGACCTAATCCTTCACGATATCCACTGTCTGGGAACTTGAGCTTTTATTTGATGTTCTTTGGGACTTTCGTGATCCTCCAAGTCATACACGATGTTAGACCACGCGCCAAGAACCAAGTCGTAGCAGGCATCGGCCGCTCAAGCAGAAGCATCATGACAATTGATTTAGAGCAATTTGTATATATATATGGGCATATTGCTTTCCACGGTCTTGAACTTCCATGTCCTCATCAGCCTCAATCTTACATCGGTTCTCAGTCACATCAATAAGTCCACTCTCAACTTGACGCTTCAAAAATCAGCACATCAACTATACCACCGCCATCATGCAGTTCTCCAAGGCCCTCATCGTCATTGTTGCGGCTGTGATGCCTTCAGTCATGGCCGCATGCAGCCCCGGAGCTCCCTTCCAAGGTTCTTGCTTGTCATGCACCTCTGAGTGCTGGGACAGTGAGTTGAACACAAAACCCTGAGTTGGCGCGATCAATGAGATCATTCTAACACCATGTTCTACAGCTTACAACGCGCCTGACCGCCAGACGAACTTGCAGCGTGCTGGTTGCATGGCGCAGTGCCTTGCGCTGTGCGACGACTGCGATTAAGAGCCTCGACTCTATGACAACTCATATGTCAATCTGAGAGATTGAGAAGTGATGTGCCACTAGCTATTGGGAAAGAATGTTTGGTTGATAGAATATCTTTCTATCATACACAGTATGTAATGCCATTCATCAATACACAGTATATGCTGCAGAAATGGAGCTTGGCGTAACCATGAACGCTGGGCGGAAGAAGTTTTGAATTACATGACAAGTGATAGTATTATCCGAGTATCTGGGAAGCCAATACTAGTGCCAGAGACTTTGACTACGCTGCTGTCCTCTAACAATCCCGGAACATGGGAGAATGCATGTCAGTTAGTTGGAACCATCTTTCATCGCGGCGAGCCCACCAAGCATCGCCTGATAATAAGTGCCATCAGAACCCAAGCCACCAAGAAGCCAGTTGTCATTGTACGCTCCACCAGAGCCCATGCGTGCTCTCCAGACTTCATCGCCAGATCGCCAGTCCAAAGCTACCACATACCACACATAGATGCCCCCCACAGCAAGCTTCTCGTCCTGAGTGTAAAAGTACAATAATCCGGTTTTTGTGCTTAGCACTGGGTTGGCTTTGACCGTCATAGGCGACGTCCAACGCACAGAGCACGGTGCTGCCGTGGAACTGGCGGAAGCGTCGGCTGAGACTTGAATCGCAAATGTGCCGCCTGGCATGCCAGCCATGTTGTTCCACTCGCCGTTGATATCATCCAAGGTTGATGAGGCATTCGGCCAGAACATTGTGGTGCCGTTGAATGTGTTTTCCACCACGACAGTGTAGAATCCGGTCGTGGCATCGTAGTGCGTTGTTGCTGCCAGGTCATTGGCACTTGCGTTCTCTCCAAAGAGCGGGACGGTGCAAAACAACTGATCTCTCTCCGTGGCCCCTTGGTAGTAGACTGCAAGATTGATTCGCCCGTCGGCGTTATCGGTAATGACCACGTAATCGTCTCCGAGGAGCGCCGGCGTAGATCCCGAACCGCGAGTGATGGCGCCTAGCTTCGTAGTGCTGCCAGCATCGTACGTGGCATTCCAGAGGGTTTGTACACCACCATTAGAACCAGCCCCTCCAGAGGATGGAAGCGAAGTCAATGCGAGTATGTATCCGACTTGAGGCACCCCTTCTGTGCCAATGGCCGTAGGCCCCGTAACGATATAGGCAGTGGTGTTGCTGACAGCAATGCCGTTCTCAATGGTTTGGCCATCCATCTGAATCGAATGTACTTGATTGTCGGGCGTGATGTAGCCGAGTGTGAGGGAAGTCTGTGCAGCATACAGTGAACCAATACCCGGGATGCCACCGGTGGTGTACCAGATGTTCCCCGCCGTGTCCATCACCGCGTTCAGCAAGGACTCGCCATCATCAATTGCCGACGGAATCGTGGTCAGGTCAATGTTTCGGACGGTCGTGAACGCTGTCCCCTTTTCAGCATGGTCGTCACGACGAATCAGGTAGACGTGGCCCTCCTGGCTGGTGAAGAGTATTTCGTCGGTCTCGAGCAAATACTCGAGGTATCCCAGGCTGAGGGTCTGGTTGGTGTCCGGAGGGGTCCAAGTAGCCAAAATCTCCATTGTCTGCGGGTCAATGGCTGCGATCCCACGGGCGAGTGTTGTTGAGTCGGCATAGCCAATTGTCATGGTATTGTTCGCGCCCCAGGTCATAACACCAGTGACGATCTCCTGACTGAACAGGCTCATGTTGTTGCCTCCCAAGGGTCCTGGATAGTCGGTGGATCCGGTGTTGCCGCTATCTTCGTGCATGAGAGAAGCAGATGGAAAGAATATTGTCTTCGCATTGAGGGTATTCGGTGTAGCGGGTTGGCCTATGAAAGCCAATGATCCGTTAAGGGGTTGGGTATTGGGAATGATGCCCTGCTAGAGGAACACGGGTTAGCTTTGATAACAGGGCCCAATGCTGCAATTGAGCAAGCATAGAGACTTACTCCCATGGCCATGACGCTATGGCATAGCAAGAAACCAAGATTATGGAGGCGCATTGTGGAAAAGAAACATGCGAGATGAAGTGACTGACTGGATGAGATCGATCTGAGTGATGGAAAGTGTTGTTTCATGCCGCCTCCAAGACCGAGGGCCATACGCGGCTTTTGAATATTTTCGCAAACGCCATGATATTCGAAGTCCAAAGGTTAACTTTGTCTTAGGATATTCTATCCTCGGATTCACGAGCTGCTCAATTGAACCAGAGGATCGATGGTGCGGGTCACATACGAGTATCCCCTTATCCCTTTGACAAACATCATCACAGACCACCTGGGTTGCGAATAATTCGAAGAGACGATTGCGTTGCAATCTGCCGTGTTCTGATTATGGAACCTCAATACTCCAATCATAAGGCTGATTGTCTGGATCGGAGCTTGGCATTTGGCCCTGAGCATCCGAGATTTCTCGGGTCCCCGAGGGGGCAGTGTTTTGCCCCACTACTTTCCCGATCGAACATCCTGATCTCAACACTGACTACCTGCTGATAAGCCCACTCGTGAGTTCTTCAAGGCAAGTCCCAAATGTGAGCCCGCTGGTCGGACCTGTCTGGTACTCCGTCCGGCTTCACGGGTTTCTTGCCACCCGGTGCCGACAACAGCAACGCTTACTAGGTAGCTAGCAATTTCGTAGCAATGGATGTTGTCAGTAGGATCTGAGTGTTTCCATTCATAGATCAGTCATCTCACATGCTTGAGTTCAACTCGTTTCTTGGGAATTTAGTCCAGACCGTTCTTGCAATGGCCTTCAGCAAGCATTACCTCACAAACAAGACTAAAATAGCCCCAAGCCGAAGCTCCTAGATCAAGTTGAATTTGTCGCGATAATCTTCTACTCCTGTATATAACAGTCATACCATACAACTCTAGTATAATCAACTTCTGATACAGAGAGAGAAATTGCGAAGACAATTCAACAATACTGCCAGTGGTTCAAAATACCTTAAGCATCCGCTTTCAGGCTCATGCAAATGCATCTTGGGGGCTTTCAACTGCTGCTGGAGAACAATCCATTTTCTAGGTGGACTTTGAGCTGTACAACTACATGTAACGTTTTGTTGCAAGCATTTGACTAGGTTGAACTTGCGCAGTTAAAATTACTCCCAATATCCTAGTATAACAAACCTCCCCGAACGACCCACGCTGCGCAAATGAACTGTTCCTCCTAGCTCCATTCTGTTGGTTCATGTCCAAAGTAAAACTCTCCTATGATAGCCGAAGACAAGCAAAGCCTTAAACACACCGAGTTCGCAGTTGGGTCAAAGAATATTCATACCACCCCGTTGCATTAACTGGATAGATCTCAAATAATCATCTTTTTTCGGGGGTTGACTCACTGATGACTCTTCTTGCAACCCCTTTGCTTTCGACCGACGATTCTCTACGGTATGGAGAAACCACCTATGCCAACTGGTACAACTTAACCTCTGAGCCTCAACGCCCCAACAGCTACGATTGGCATTCGATAGCCCGTTGTGTAATTGATGCAATTAATGGACTATGGTATCTATAGTACCTTGGACAATAAGCTTAGTTCTATCTCATTGACCCATTCATGTCTGCTAAGCTTCAGTTATTTAATGTTTCTGTCATCCTATGTAGTCACATTTTTTCTATTCTTATCTTATCCTTATGGCCTATCTGCATTCTAGATACCCACCTAATAATTGAAGCCTCTGCTTGATATCATTCCATCCACAAACTCCATCTAGTACGTTGAGCGCAAGCGTTTTGAAGCTTGAAGAGGATGGCCTGACTTCATTCAGAGGTGGACGTCATCAATCGCATTTTCCTGCTTCGAAGACGACGACATCAGCGACATGCTTCGACAAAGCTGCACCAGGACAGGGATGCCAAGCTCACACCACTTTCACCGTTTCCAGATATGATTGGTGCGCATCTCAGTCCAGCCACCGCTCTTCGGTACTTGACTCCATTCCCCCGCACGAACCCCACACTCAACTCTTGGGGTACACCGAAATGAGCAGCTCATCGTGGCATAGCTCGAGAGAACATTGGCCCGGCTCTCGCAACTCCAATCTGTTCCCTGCAGGCTCGGCATAACTTGCGTTGTTTTGCCGCGTTTTGTGATCTTGATCTAGACTGATAGCTGTTTGTTTGGAGCGCATACAATGCGACTTCGCAGCGGTGACCCCAGTCACTTGCGCTTGTTAGCAACGCCAACATAATTTCACGTTGGCGTCTCCAGAATTTCTCCTCATTCAAGCTGCCCATACCTTGCAGCAATCATTGACCGTCTCCAGGCTTCTCCAGTCTGGGGGAGCAACAAGATTATGGATATCGCCACAAGGCCGAGGTTACCGAGAGGCAGCTCACAGCTCGGGCCATGTCGCATCGTGTGTTCGTCTGCGGTCACGACCCCAGGTGCCACTGCGTCCCTGGTACCGTTGCCATGGGTCCAGTGCTGGATGTGATGCTCTCGATGTCACCCATATAAAAGGTCCCATCGCGTCGGTCTGGGGAATGATCTGCTCTCCCTCCGCATCTCGTTTTTCAGACGCGTCGCTTCCCGCAGAGATCGTCGAGTCGCAGCCATGATGATCCGGTCTGCCCTCTTCGCCGCCGTCGGCGCTCTCACCTGCGGCATCGCTTCTGCCCTCGAGACCTTCGAGCGGAATCTCATCTTCCAGCCGCCCGAGAACTATACGGACCCTCGGGTCCTGTATCCCCGCACCGTCCAACTTTTGGACGGCCGCCTGCTGGGCACATGGGAGAATTACTCCCCCGAGCCCCCTCTGGTTTGGTTCCCCATCTATGAGTCTCTCGATGGTGGCGTCACATGGGAGGAGGTTGGCCAAGTTCACGATGAGGTCAACAACTGGGGTCTGCGCTACCAACCCTTCCTGTATGAGCTCCGCGAGGAGTTCGGCGGGTACCCCGTTGGAACTGTTCTCCTTGCTGGTAACAGTATTCCCACGGATCTGAGCCAGACGCAAATCGATCTCTACGCGTCCACGGACAAGGGTCGTACCTGGGAGTTCTTGTCCCACGTCGCTGCTGGCGGCCGGGCCATCCCCAACAATGAGGAGACCCCCGTCTGGGAGCCCTTTATTCTGTAAGTCTACGGCAACACGATGCATCCATTTTGTCCCAATCACTAATATCTGTTGCAGCATCTTCGAGGATGACCTGATTCTCTACTACGCCGACCAGCGCTCCGCCGAGCACGGCCAGGAGATTTCCCACCAGACCACCAAGGACCTCAAGAACTGGTCCGAGGTCGTCAAGGACGTCTCCTACCCGACCTACACCGACCGCCCCGGCATGCCCTTCGTCACCCAGCTCGGAAACGGCGACTACATGTACACGTTCGAATGGGGTGGCGCGCCCATCATCGAGCCCTACTCGTTCCCCATCTACTACCGCATCGCAAAGGACCCTCGCAAGTTCGCCGACGCGCCCGACTACTACATCAACAGCACCAACGGCGGCGTCTTCCCCATCAACAGCCCCAACGTTGTCTGGTCCCCCGTCGGCGGCTGCAACGGCACCATCGTCGTTAGCAGCAACAGCGCGCCTCTCTTCATCAACCGTCGCGGTGGCGACCCGAATGCCTGGATTGCGTACGACTCTCCTGAGGCTGGCGCCTACACTCGCAACCTCCGCATCATGGAGGAAGACCCCGATTACCTGCTCATTATGGGCGCTGGTGTTCTGCCTCCCAGCACCACGAACAAGGTTACTGTCAGCATGTTGAAGTTGACCGAGTTGCTGGGACTCAAGCAGGCATAAATGATTGTAGAAGGATTCATGTATATAATGTTTGATGTCTTTAAACGCCAAAATACCACATCCAGAGACATGTTCTCGCGTGGTTACGGGTACATACACGCACACAGACTACGCCGTAATGAAATGTTAGTAAAAATGCACCCAAAATGCAACGCATGTGCTTCTCATGGTCAGCACTCAATTGAGCCCGGTGATTTGCCCACTGTCTCGCCAAGAAAGAGCGCGTGTAGAAGTCCCTGACGTAATGTCATTCGAGGGTTATGCTCGGGGTCTTTCAATGCGTCCCCGAATCCAACCTGCATGTGACCAGTCGCCCTTCGGTTGGCCATGCTTGGCAACTTCCTCGAGCAGAGGAGAAATTCCACACATGCGGACAGAGCCTTTCAAACAGGTCTCCGCCGGAAGTCAGTGAAACCACAAGATTGGGAAGCTCTGGAATTTTTCCGTCTTGATTCTTTTGCTTAAGTTGCTTCCAGGGCTCTGTATGGACGGAAGTTCCGACGTGTTCCTGAACGCCCCGGGCACGCGGGCCGTTGTAGGTGGCGCGACTCTCCGCAGGGAGCACCTTGCCTCATCCAAGTAAAGACCGCCTTGGAAGACAAGGGACGAACACCCTCCAAGCATCGGCTAAGCGACAAACGCGGGGCAACGAGCGGGGGAAGACAGGGGTTGCGGTTGGGGGTGCGGTGAAAGCTCCGGGGCATGCCGAACCTAATTGTTTCCTGCTCGGTTCGCAATGCCAGCCCGGCTCCAGTTCTCCTTGATTTCATGATGCACGACATGCATGTCATGTCGTGTTCGTGGCCCCCTAAGGAATATGGACTCACGCAGTTGGGGTAAAAGAGGGGAAGTCGGCAGACAGCTGTGTCTACGTCAACTCGGTCGACTGGTTGAGAGTGTGAGAAGGGCTGTCCCTGACATCTGCCGGCCACTAATGAGCTTCCAATTCCGCCGCCTCCGCCGCTATATCGGGATAAGGTTGGGGATGGTGACATTCCGATCTTCGCGTGGAGAAGACGGATGTGCCCATTTCCGTGTAATAATAAACAAATCTGCTCTTTCGTAAAAATGCAGTGTTTCCTTCACTCGCTCGTCAGTGTCCAGCTGCGTTCAGTGTCGAGACTGCCCCATTGGAATTGACAATGTTGCTCTCGCGCGTCAAGATCCTCTCGCTTTTGACCCTCGGTTGGCTCAATGGAGTCAGTGGAAGGGCCGTGGCTAGAGACATGCACCTCCTCAATGGAAGGCAGCAGGATGTTGTGAGTCGAGCCAAAACTAATTGATGCCATTGGGCGCTCGTCAACGTCGCAAAACATCCAGTTGGCACAATTGGGCTGACGTTGAGGTGTAGGTGACATGGGACGACCAAAGTCTTTTCATCAATGGTGAGAGACTTATGGTCTTTAGCGCCGAGTTTCATGCCTTTAGGTAAACTCATTCCTTGACTTGAGTTGCGGCCTGGTCGCTGATTCCTTGAGCAGAATGCCAGTCCCGCACCTTTGGTTCGACATCCTTCAGAAGATCAAAGCGGCCGGCTATAATTCCATCTCGTTCTACGTCAACTGGGGACTGTTGGAAGCAAAGCCAGGTGAAGTCCGTGCTGAGGGTATCTTCGCCTTGGAGCCTCTTTTCGATGCCGCTCAGAGGGCTGGTCTGTACCTGTTCGCCGTAAGATGCTGCGCCCTCCCTTTCTTTCGTGTAGTATTCTCCTAACTCCATCATAGCGACCGGGGCCCTACATCAATGCCGAAGTGTCTGGAGGAGGCTTTCCAGGATGGCTGCAAAGAGTCCCAGGAGTCCTTCGTTCAGCCGACGAGGCCTACCTCAAGGCTACCGACAAGTAAGTTTACTAGCAAAGAAGAGTTGGTCTAGATAGCTGACGATATCAGCTACACCGCCGCAATTGGCAAGATCATTGCCGGTGCTCAGATCACGAACGGAGGCCCAGTCAGCCTGTTCCAGATGGAGAACGAGTACAACGCTGCAATCGAGCCTTACCCTTTCCCGGACTATGACTACTGGAACTACGTCGAGAACCAGTTCAAGACAGCCGGTGTTGTGGTACCGTACGTCAACAACGAGGCCTGGCAGCTTGGTGCTATCACGACCTCGACTCCAGCCAAGGTCGACATCTACGGTCACGATGCCTACCCCCTTGGCTTCGACTGCTGGAACCCGACTGTGTGGCCTGAGAACGGCCTGCCCACAGATTGGCTCGCGACGAACAACAAGATTGCTCCTGATAGTCCTTACACCATCGTCGAGGTATGGCATTGTTTGTGTTGGGTCCCGAGACCAGGAACTAACAGCAATTAGTTCCAAGGCGGTGGCTTCCAGCCCTGGGGCGGTGCCGGGTTCGAATCATGCGCTGGTCTGCTGAACCACGAGTTCGAGCGCGTTCTCTACAAGAATAACTATGCTGTAGGAGTCACCATCATGAACATCTACATGGTAAGTAGTTTTACAGTCTCGCCGATAGGGTTAGTTGGGGAGCTGACTGGTTGTAGACTTGGGGAGGCACCAACTGGGGCAACCTCGGCCACTCCGACGGCTACACCTCTTACGACTACGGCGCGCAAATCACAGAGGAGCGTCTCCTCACTCGCGAGAAGTACAGCGAGTCGAAACTTCAAGCCAACTTCTTCCACGTCTCCCCCGCCTATCTTGAGGCCGACCGTTTCAATTCCTCCCTCGAGTTTACGAATAACGATGCCATTACCGTCACGCCCGCAACTACCAACACGACCAAGTTCTACATTGCTAGGTCTGTCAAGGAATTCTACCTGACAGTGAATTTGGACTGACACGCTGCAGACATACTCAATACGACACGCTTGAGACGGTGGCGTACAAGCTGAAGGTCGACACCGTCAAGTACGGCCAGCTTGAGATTCCTCAACTCAGCGACAGTCTTTACCTGACCAGGAGAGACTCCAAGATTCATGTCAGCGACTACCCTGTTGGGGATAAGAATCTCGTGTACTCGTCTGCTGAGGTCTTCACCTGGTAGGCTGCAGAATTGTCACCGTCATCATAAGTTTCGTGTCTAACAACAGTGCAGGAAGAAGTACGATGATAAGACCGTTTTGGTTGTCTATGGTGGCGCTGATGAGCACCATGAGCTGGCTGTCGAGGGTGACCAGGGAGACGTGACGGACGATGATGTGATCGAAGGCTCGGACGTTACCATCGAGCAGAAGGATGGCTACACTGTTCTTGGCTGGGCTGTTTCCGATGAACGCAAGGTTGTTCGTGTCCACAAGAACCTCTACGTATACCTATTGAGTGAGATGCCTCAAGCCCCATATCCTGAGGAAACTTTACTAACGGTCTGTTAGCCCGCAACGAGGCCTACAACTTCTGGGTTCCTCCTACTGAAGGCAACTACGCCACTTCAGACGTAGTTCTGAAGGCTGGATACCTCGTCCGGACTGTTGCAGTCGACGGCGACACGCTCAGCGTCTTTGGAGATGTGAACGCGACAACCCCGATTGAGGTTATCGGCGGCGCCCCATTCCCTCTCAAGACCTTGAACTTCAATGGCAAGGCACTCGACTTCAAGCAAAACGACCGAGGTGTTGTTACTGCCAGCGTTGACTTCAAAGTCCCCGAGATCAAGCTTCCTTGCATCAGCCAGCTGGGTTGGAAGTACATTGACTCGCTTCCGGAAATCAAGCCCGACTACTCAGATGAGCTTTGGACCAACGCCGACCTGAAGGAAACCTACAACACGGCCAATCCGCTCAAGACTCCTGTCAGTCTGTACGGCGGCGACTACGGTTACCACACTGGTTCATTGCTGTACCGAGGGCACTTCACTGCCCACGGCGAAGAGAATGTCTTCAACCTCACCACCCAGGGTGGAAACGCTTATGGCGCTTCAGTGTGGCTGAATGATGAGTTCGTCGGCTCGTGGCCCGGCAATGCGGTTACTGGAGGCCACAACAGCACCTTCACGTTGCCTAAGCTTACCAAGGACAAGGAATACGTCTTCACTGTTGTTGTTGATCACATGGGTTTGAACGGCAACTGGGTTATCAACGAGGAGCAGCAGAAGAACCCACGTGGAATTCTCAACTACAACCTCGCCGGCCACGAGCAGTCTGACATCAAGTGGAAGATCACCGGCAATCTCGGCGGCGAAGACTATGCTGACAGAGAGCGTGGCCCTCTCAACGAGGGTGGACTTTTCGTCGAGCGTCAAGGATACCACTGGCCCGAGCCCCCTTCTAGCTCTTGGGAGGACAGCAATGGCCCGACTGAGGGCATTTCCAAGGCTGGCGTTGCGTACTACTCGGCTACCTTTGACCTTGACCTTCCTACAGGATACGATATTCCGATCTCCTTGACTTTTGCCAACACTACCACCACCGCTTACCGCGCTCAGCTCTTCGTCAACGGATACCAGTTTGGCAAGTTCGTGCACCATATCGGCCCTCAGACGCGCTTCCCTATTCCCGAGGGTATTCTCAACTACCAGGGATCCAATCATCTCGGCATCACACTTTGGGCTCACGAGAACGACGGCGCCAAGGTTGAGGGTCTAAAGTGGGAGGTGGGCATGGTCAGTGCTACAAGCTTTGGAAAGGTTGAACCGGCGCCTCAACCGAAGTGGCAGGAGAGAACGGGCGCATACTAGCCAAATTCCGGTAAAACTATTGCCATTTCATAATGCCATGGCGCGAGGTTCATCATTTATAGATTGAGAATTCTTATTGCGCTAGCCTCATCTTGGCTCCAATTCCTCAACGGTGGTAGTGAAATTGAGTTATTGAAGAGAACAGTATCGGTGATTCAGTCGCCGAGAGCGATGATGATTTGACAATTGTAACTTTAACGGGAATGCGAAACTATTTGACTGAACAAAAGACTGGCGGTACGTTGCCGAATTAGTCTCTTAGGCGTCGATACAAATCAGAGATATTGACCTTGGAGCGATTAGAGCCCGAATGACCAGGAATAACCCGGCAGCGTGTACGTCCTTGACGTTTCGTCCCTGACTTCAGTGTGAAGGCGCCTTGTCAGTCTCTGGCCCCGAATCAGCCCCAACCTCCATCCAGGGCACAAATCCATCTACATCTTCTGGGTTTCAGGTTGGAGCATTGGTCAAAGAGTGTTCTTGTTTCGATGGCATTCTCCGCCATTCTCTTCCCCCGCCGAGCGCAGCGACAAGCAAGGGCCACCCGCCGTCTATCCAGTTCTCTTTTACGTTTATTCTCCGCAGATTCGAGTACAAGTAAGCCGCAACTGACCTCATCGTCCCTTGACACGTCAGGTCATACCTCATGGCATTGAATTGCTCCAAGAAGACGGATAGTTACTCTTTTCTCCGCACATTCTCTCCCGCCTCAAATTTTTGAGCATCAAGCTCGCCCTATCATGCCGCCGTGGCGACCCAGTGTAGGGGAAACCCTCAATTTCGCTCCCGGGCCCAATCACGAAGCCTGGGAAGAAAGGCTGAAGGCCTCATTCGAACAGACCCCGCGTTATCTCTTCCGAGTGTATGATGACACCTCCTCCGGCACTACAAACGCAGAATATGTTTCCTCCCGTCTCGCCGACCTGGGTAGCCTTGACTGTCGCCGCAACATGCTCGACCAGACCACCAAGAAGGCCGCGAGTATCTTGAATCAACATCTGAACTGGAGGGGATGGCAACATGAACGAGATGTAGATAATCTCGTTTCCTGGTCAAGTTCCTTATTGTTCACTCTGCAATATGCCTTATACAGGCACAATAAGCGAAGAAAGGGGCGTTCTGCACACAATGTCCACATTATCATGATCGATACTACAAAGTTCCCTAGGGAGACATTCATACGAGATCTTGAGGTCATGCACTGCCTCCGCAATGGCAACCTCCAGTTGAAACAGCTTTACCGATTGCGGACGACGGGCCAACGCGGTCGTATCTTTTCTTTTGGCGAATACCTCAGTCAGGGCTGTATCAACGTCAGCAGAGCCTCTGGTGTGACATCCCTGAAGAAGCTCATCGACACTGGACTCTTCAACGAATCCGTCTGCCCCTATCTTGGGGATAGTGTACACTGGTCGCGCTTGGCCAAGCGCGTCTTGACCTTGCGGGAAGAGGTAGATTCGCTCAGAGTTGAGCAGCAAGCATGGGCATCACTAGAACACACTCGCGCCTTCATTGCCATCGCGGAAGCCTGTTTCGGTTCTCATGGAGCTAACCGTAATCTGGCGCCTGCTTTTGCAGTCATGCTGTTGTCCCTGTCGCGTTTTTCAGGCTTTGAAAACGACAGTGTAGTTGCATTTCTGAAACTCTACCCAGGTACGTGAGCATAATTCTCTTATTGCGAGAAATTATCTTTTTACAACCCATATTATGATGCTTACAGTACCTTGTTTGTCTGCAATAGAAGCCCCGTGGGCCTTTCGAGATCCGTCTACTGGTCTTCAGCATAGTACATATGAACTGAAAGAATTTCATACATATGCTGAAGCAGTAATCAGAAATCACATTCGCATAAGATCCCTGGAAACACATTTCCAGCGGGCTGTGAATGAATGGTTTCTACAGGCTAAACCACGACTTAAGAGTCACAAGACGAGGAAAACATATGAGGATGGAGTCGCAAAGATGACTAAGAGGCTCCCATTGGAAGAAATCTGTGGTATGATGGACAAAGGGGACAGCGTGAGACTGCATGCGACTTGAAGACGGCGTTGTAGCCGCACTTCACGATGATTCCTGGATGCCGAATGAACAACTCTTCGAAGTCAAACGATTCCAGGATCAATCAGTGTTTCTGAATAGCACTATCTCGAAAGCGGAGGACATTTGATCACATGATATAGGTGGATAAAAAGGTAATAATGAATGAGAATGAGAAGGAGGATATCATGCTCCTCGCGATAAACATGTATCCCACAAAAGGATTTACTTGCTTTGAAGATGGTTTCATGCCCGAGGATGCATGTTACTATTAAGCTATTGATTTCGGCATGGCTGACAACGATCGCTTTTATTTGCACTGACTGCACACACCATATAACTAAAACATTTTTGATTTCGAAATCTTATAGGTCCAGTCTGTGTTCATTCTTCTGCTCGATCAGCAAAGCGTCGGTAAGCGCCACCTCCTCGCTCTTACCTGAACTAGTTGCAAAAAGCACGCATTCTGAGACCACGCCATAAAGTGTCGGCTCAACCTTTCCCCCTTCGCCGAATCTCATCCAAGAATCTGTTTATTTTATTGCAGTCACGGAGTGGGGCTTCGCATCAACATCCGCTTCGGATGAACACGTCGCAAGCTAGCAACCATGGACGTCTTCCCTAACCTCCCCACACCGTTCGAATTCCGCCATCTCTATGGTCACGACTACCGCCAAGACCACCAGGCAAGAAAACTGGAAGATGGCTTCAATAGGATCCCCCGCTATCTATTCCGCGTTTACGATGCCAACTCGCAGGGGGCTACATCAACGCACATGCTATGGTCAGCCCACGCAAAGGCAACTTCGAACTGGGACATGAACAACCTTCTTCTGAGAACTGACGACTCTGGACCCTCTGACCTCTACAATCATCTCGATTGGAAGAAGTTTCCCCACCACAGCACGCTGGTATCATGGACCAGCTCACTGCTCTTCGCAATCCAGCTGGGGCTTTACAAACACACCAAACACCCTCTGGCCGAAGACTTCGACGACTTGTCCAATATCTTCATACTCATGATTGACACCTCCAAGTTCCCTAAAGACACCTTCATCCAGGACGCGGTAGCCATGGAGTTCTTTCGGGATGAGCAAACCTGGAAGAAGGAACACGAGACCTTCTTCGAGATGAGGTTCAAAAAAGAGCAATGCGCCTTCTACTTTGGGGAATATCTTACCCAAGGGTTGTTGTCGGTCGAAGGAAAATGTAGCGAAACGTCCTTACAAAAGCTCGTTGATCTGGGCCTGTTCCAGTTCTGCCCATATTTTGAAGACAAGAAGCATTGGTGCAGCTTGGCGAGCCGGGTGGTCCAAATACGTCGGACCTCATTCGCCGCGTCAATGCCGCCGTGTTCCTATCAACTCAGCGAACAAGCGGCAGTGCGTAGAGCCGTCACCATAGGCCAGGCGTGCTTTGGTGATGTCTGGGCTCTCCCCTTCGCCTTAATGATACTGGCCTGCACGCCGATGAACTCATTGACGGATGGCTTTTTTGCCGCACTTGCGGGCATATTCTCTCGTAAGTCCACAAGACAAATTAAACTGCTGACACTTGTTGCGCTATAATATTGCCTCAGTTGGCTAATGTGTTGGGGTGTAACAGGTGAAGAGCTTGACGAAGCTTCCCCAGATAAGCTGAACATCGATGCTATTAATCTCATCGAATTAGGGGATTATCAGCGGTTCGCTAAGAAGTTGAGACGTTTCAGGCTCAAGGCAGAAAAGAAGAAAGCTGGAGCTTAGCATACTGAGGCCATTCTCTGCTGTCTAGAGACTCGATGACAGCGAGAGTGCCCTTCGTCACGGCTGTCTTCCCACCTGATATAGGATCTCACTGGGTCTCGGCCGGTAGGAAGCGAGTATTTTGTGTTGTTGCACATGGCTATTTTTCAAGCAATACATTAGGAAATACATTCCATCTTGCATCACATGGTCATAGAATTGCAGACTAACAGTTGATTTACTATGTACCAGAAGTGAGTGATCATCCACCTAAACAAAATCCAAAGTAAAAGAACAAAATCAGACAAAAGTCCCAAAACCCAAGACGCAACACCACCAAATGCAATGCAACAACCGACCCGCCATGCCTACATCACCACCGCGAAGCTTGAAAACCCCTCTCTAGGAGTATCCCATCAATTGGGCGCTTAGAAGCCGCCAAGGGGGTTGGGGTTAGGAACAACCTTGCCAACATGCTTCACAGGCGGAATCACCAGCGTCGCCTTGGCCGCGAGCTCCTTGTGCTTCGCCAGCGAGAAGTCCTGGTTGTCAAAGTTCTGGTTGACCACGCCGACCATGCCCGCGTTGCAGTGCGTCATCGCGGGCTGCGCGCAGTAGTACCAGATGGGCTTCTTGTCCTCGACGACAATCTGGAAAACGTCCGGGGCCTGGCCCTCAGCAGTAAAGAACTCGAAGCCCGGGAAGAAGCCGCTGCCGTCGGCGAGCGGCTGGCAGGGGTTGCCGAAGCTGGACTGCGCGACGGTGTGGTTGCGCGGGAGGAAGTGCCACTCGACGACGTCGCCGATCTCGGCCACGACGTTGTCCGGGTCGAAGCGCAGGCCGCCGAGGCCGGCGACGACGGAGTGGGTTACGCCGGTGAGGTGGGTGGTGCGGGTGGCCCTGGTGCTGCCGGTGGTGGTGGTGGGCGCGGCGGAGACGGCGGCGGCGGAGGCCAGGAGGACGGTGGTGAGGGTCTTGATGGAGAACATGTTTGTGGATTTGGTTTGGTTGATTTGAAGTTTTTGATAGAGACGTAAGGAAATAAGGAAATGAGATAGCAAAGATGAAAGGAAAAGTTGGAATATTGTATTGGATGTTGTGTTTGCAATGTGATGATGAGAGAAGAGAAGCTTCATCTCGCTTCTTGTTCACTTATATACAATATCTCAACTGTACTTGCTATGGTCATTTTTGCCAATATCCTAAGTGCTGTTGTACAGCCCTACGGAATGATCCTCTTCCACCGCATCACGTCCTTCCGGTACATAGTTGAGGAATCAGCCATGCGTCTCCAGCTTCGTGTCTATTAGCCTGTAGTTGTCAGCAGCACTTAATACCCGCAGTCCCCGAAAAGTGCCATTTACACAGTCGCACTGCCAAAACACCCAGCCGGATGGCCAATAATCCGGGGGAGACTCCTCGCACTAGTTCCTTCTCGACGCCATGTTCTCACTCAGACGAAAACGTCAACCGCTGTGATTGGTCGGTTGCCGCGCAAGACGCAGCTTTGGGAGAGAGAGTGCTGACCGCGTCTGACCAGATGAACGGCGCCGGCGTGTGGCGGAGCAGCTGTCAGTCGCTCCGCCACAGTAGCGCAGTAACAGAAGCGGAAGAATGTTGGTGGTGAGGATGGCAGGAGCAAGTCTAAATTTAATCCCCACCGTCCGCCACGGATGTTCAGACGTAGCGCGGGATCAACGTGGCATGTGCAACTTTGTTTCTTTTGGATCCATTCTTGGGACTTGGCCTATCGCCGTAAATGGTGCTCGAATGGAACTAGCCACATGACAAGAGTTCTGGCCTAGAAGTGTTTGATCACGTCTGAACAGAGAGCTTGAAACAAATAGAGGCCTCGGTGAAACTCCAATTCGATAACATATTCTAACACGTTGATGAACAATCATTCACTGAGTACTTTGGCTACCCGATAATAATATGTGGATTTCATTATGTCGTCAGTCCAGGTCTTGGCTCTCAGCCCTCAGTCTTCGACCGTAAGCCCTAGGCTGGAATGCCGGAAGGAATGGTATCCCCGGACTGCTATGGCCAAGGCTGGACAAATCTGCATCCTGTTGTGAACAGCTTGCGCTTCTGCGGATTTGCGACAATAGGATTACAGCAGAAGTCCCATCTCTCCCGGTAATCAAGGCAAACCCCTGTTCTGCTGCACCTTCCCGCTTGTAATAGGATCTGACAAAACGCAATTGGCTGTACGAAGATCTTCTTTTCTCTTCCGCGTGTGGTACTGAAGAGAGAACACCTCATCTGGACGAACGCGTTCAAAACCATGTTGGTTTCCCTCCACGGCCAGCAATCTCAGCGTGCTGCTGGCCCTTTGGGGTGGGAATCTGGCGACAATAATAGTCACGACAAGAATAGTCAGACTAAATAATAGTATTTGGGTCTCCTCGGAGTAGGCAGCAGAAGTCCTCTTGGGTACACATAGAGTCGGTGTCCGTAGGATGTGCCAAGTCCACCCAAGACGTAGCCACGACAATGGGCAGGCCTCGATTTCTCCAGTAACTTCTTGGCATGTGGCCAATGTTGCTCGTCTACCATGCGTTGCTGCCATCTATAATTATCCCATGTCCATGATGAAGCTGCTTCAGGCCCTCTAATTTCCGCGATAGGTCTGCTACTCATGAATCAGATTCATGGACCTCAAACGTCAATCATCATTGTCGTGGCTTTTGCAAGGTCATGTCCTGAATGTTGGCCTGTGTAGGTATGTTTTACGCTTTCAGATGATCTCCCATGGAACCTTTAACCGACCTCATGGCAGTACATACTCTACCGAGTATCAAAAATTGTCGAGTCGGCGGTCGTTATCATGGGATTCTGTAACAATGTGGTATAATATCCCAAGACACAGCGCGAAAGGCGGCATCCCCATTTTCACGCAGTACGAGCAACTTCGAACTAACATGACCAGTATCGTAACGGATAGTGCGATTGAGCGCAGGTGCCCTGTGTAGTAGTAGAGGTAGATCTTATTCTTCATATGTACGTAAATTGCAAAACCGGTGGTACATGAATCCCCAGCAAAAATTGATTCCCGTCCGACCCGACCTGACACCGTTCGCGCCGACAGTGATGCCGCCTCTCGTATTTGATTTCCAACATCGTGCTTAATCGCCTTAAAGTATATATCTATCCTACGCGTCTACGCGGCCGTCAGCTCGGCAATGCGCCTCTCAATCTCAGGCACCTGTCGCAACAACACCTCGAGGTCCTCTTTCTCGTCCTCGAGCTTCAGCCGCCTGTCGGCGTCGAGCTTGGTGAAGACGTAGTTGCCCTGTCCGTCGAACTGCAGGATGCGGGAGTGGTACTTCCACAGACTACGGCGATGGCTAACAGTCATGAGGGTGATGCCGAGGGCCTTGGCGTTATCGTACATGACCTTTTCGGTCTCGAGGGTGACGGAAGAGGTACATTCGTCAAGAATGGCGTAGCGAGGGCGGTGGTAGAAGAGACGGGCCATGGCGACCCGCTGTTGGAGACCTCCAGAAAGCACATCGCGCCACTCGGCCTCGGCATCCCAGCCCGAATCGTAGAGCTCGGGGAGATGCTCGAGGCCGAGAATGGAGAGAATGGACATGAGGTCGGCGTCGGTGACACCTTTGGCGCGCATTTGGCGGAGGGAGTCCGGGTAGGTGATCTGCTGGCGGAGGGAGCCGCGGGACAGGTAAGGGCGTTGGGGGATGTAGAAAATGTCGGAGAAAGGGGGCTTGTAGACGGTGCCGCCGTAGACAGGCCAGAGGCCGCCGAGAATGCGGAAGAGGGAAGACTTGCCGCAGCCGTTGGGGCCGAAGACGAGGAGATGGTCGCCTTGCTTGAGGGAGAAGGAGAGGGCTCTGACAAGGACGTCTCCGTTGGGAGAGATGATTGGGCTAGAGGAGTTAGTGATGAGAATCGGGGAAAGGGGCTGGATAACTTACACGTTGATGAACTCAATGTCCTTGCTCTCGACGACGGTGCCACGGCCCTTGAGGATGGCCTCATTGTCGTCGGTGCCGGAGCTCGAGACAAGCTTCTTCTCGAAGCGGCCGGCGCGGATGTCGTTCATGACTTCGAGTAGGGAGTCGACGCGGGAAGTGTAACCGGCCAACTCCATGATTTCGCGGTAGGAGAACATGATGCGGCCAAAGGCGTCTGACGCGGAGAGCAGCATGCGGCGGTTAGTGACGAAGCTCTCGGTACGGTCACCCATGTTCATGGAGATATGTCCGGGCATCTTGACGAAGACGGGAACGGAGCAGAGGAGCAGGCCGAGGGCACCCCAGAAGTACTTGATGACAAAGTCCTCCATGAAGCCGTGGTAGAAGCGGCGCCGCAGGATGTAGTTGACGTGCTTGATGAGGGTGAAGTAGCCCTTGTCGAGGGTGTCCTTTTCGGCCTCGTGGCCGTGATACAGGGCGACTTCCTCGGAGTGGTCGATAAGACGAGAGTGCTGGAAGCGGAACTCGCCCTCGAGGCGGGCTTCGTCGGCAACGTACTTGCCAAAGGGGGGCGTGAGGGCACGCATGACGTTGGCGGACAGCTGGACTAGGAGAGCCATTGAAACAACGCCTTCGCCACCAACGCTGCGGGAGAGGGAATGAGTGTAAATGGTCTGTAGGTCAGTCAGTACTGGGGATCAGAGTCGATAAAAGGACGCGGATGTCTCGTACCATATCCAGGATGGGCTTTGCCAGATTGCTGTACAACTCGGCCAAACTGTTGGAGAACTTCGCGACATCGACCGCGATGAGCTGGTCAGGGTTGTTTATCCTGTCGTCGAGTGCGGAGATGCCGTAAAAGGTCAATTTGGAGAGGTACTTGTCGTGAATGTGCTGTGTCAACCGTGTGCGGTACTTGAGCGACAGCTCTGCTTGGTGATAGGACAACTGCGTTCGTCAGTAGACTGCCTCCATCGCCGGGCATACAATCGGTGGCATACCATTGAGTTCGTAAACGTCGCCGGGATGGCGATCAACATCCACCACACGATGCGCATCAGGAACTCCCGCCCGTTACCCTTGACCAAACTCTTGACAATCGCACCGTCCATTGCCGCGACCTTCAGACTGATCAACGTCCTCACAACGAGGAAGAAGGAGTGGCTGATGAGCAGGCGGGCCTCCTTGCTCCTCCAGCCGGGTATGACAATCTTGAGCAGGCGCAGCAGCGAGCGGAAGAACTCGCGGTTCAGCTCGACCTTTCTGCGCTTCTTGGTCACGTCCTCGTCGGAGGGGGCGGCGAGGGTGGCGCGGGACTCGCGGGCGGCAGCGTCGCGGACGGAGGCGGCCTTTTGCTCGGAGATGGCATGGCGGATGCGGTTCGCGAGGGCGACGAAGAGGGTGATCCAGACGGCGCGGGAGATGCGCGTGCGGTTGGAGAGGTAGAGCTGGGTGAGCTGGGCGATGATGTTGCGGACGCTGCGGTCGCCGGAGGGCAGGAGGAGGGAGACTTTGGATTGCGCGGCCATGGCTGGGCGAGGGGGGCCCCCGGAATGGGGAGCTGGCGTTTGTGATCGTGGGAGGGAGGTCCGGAGAGGCGATTGTCGTGATTCGGATCGGGTGTTTTGGTCGCGGAGTGGTGGAGGGAGAGCGACGGCGAACGAACGGCGAACGGCGAACGGCTACTCGGCTACGTCACCGGTAGCGACTGGGGAATTGGAGAGGTCAGCGCATTCGGCGGTGATGTCGATTGAACGGCCCGTCGTCCAGGGTTATCGTGGATAGCAAATTCGGAGGTGTAGATTCGAGAGAAACGGGTTCGCTGTCAGCAGCAAAAGGAAGACGTTGTTGACAATGGCGTCCGAAGGAGCATGGCTGGTCACCTGGCTCTCTTCGGACGACGAGGCGCTGGCCGGTAGCAGCGTTGAAGGTAAGGTACCTAGCGACACTACAGACAGTGGCAGCAGGACCCGGTAGACTTCCAGGTTAGGTTCCCCCACGACTCGGTTCGGGTGTTTCCTTTGCGCGCGTCTTTGTCCAGCAGTGGAACTGGCTGGGGTTGGCTTCCTTCAATGGCTTCTCTGTCCCTCGGCCCCGGAGTTGCAGTGGACACCTTTGGTGCAGAAGGGGCCCGCTCCAGCAAAGCCGGCGTTGTGATTGGTGAACCCCGGAAAATGCTGCTGTGGCCCGTCCCCAACTTCCCATGTGAATCGGATGCCGGTTGCATGTGATTTGGTGCCTGGGGAAGAGGGAACTTGGCTTATGTCAGCGGCAGTCTTCTGTGGCTGGGCTATGTGGCGGTACAACTGGATTGCAGAGATCAGCCACACCGCGGGGCAAACACCTCCGATGCCTTTTTTTTTTTTCTTTCCTGGTTCCCCTCAACTGCGCAGCGCAAAGAGCAACTGGCTGACTCCATCACCAATTTCGAACAATACACACCCCTGCAATCCCGCACAGCCAAACAACACCGACACCATGGCCGACGACAACATTTCCATCTACGACGAGATCGAAATCGAGGACATGACCTTTGACGAGGACATGCAAATCTACCACTACCCCTGCCCGTGTGGCGACAAGTTCCAGATTGCGCTGGCCGACCTGCGCGACGACGAAGACATTGCCGTGTGCCCCAGCTGCAGCCTCATGATCCGCGTCATCTTTGACAAGGTAGGATTCCGCATCACGCGACAGCCGTGGGAGATGGGAAATTGTCAAAACTAACAGGAGCGCAGGACGACCTCCCGAAGGACCCCGAGGACGACCCTGAGCCGGCCCTTGAGGAGGCTTCCGCCCAGATCCCCGTTGCCGCCTAAGGTGTGAGCCGACCTGGCTCATTTTGTTCCGAAGGGTGCTGAACCGCTGGGTTATTCCGCCGGAAGCACAGGAAAGGGGGTTATATGAAGATACAGACCACACAGACGGTAGCCGGCGTCGTCTGCCCACGGCTGCGACATGCACCACCGCACGCCGTCCTCTGGGACAACGACGCACATTGAATGCCGCAAAAGGGAGACCGCCAGGCCAAATGACACCGGCACGCTCTCGTGCAGCCTCCGCAACCCCTGATCGGACGATACACTCGTTCGGTGGCACAAGGTCGGGGTGGAACGGCGCAGGTGGGTTACTCTCCGTACGCTGAGCCCGTTGTTGATTCGTGGGCGGGGAGATTACGCCGTAATGAGCTGGTCGCACCTGGGAAACACGCACTCGACCGCGGGCTGTGGAGGAACGACTGTCGCTGAAGTCTGATCAGGGGCCTTGGAGGGGTCGCAAGAGCGGTGCCCGGTGACGAGGACGCCTGGATAAAAATTGGAGCTAGACTTGGGCAGATACACTCTGCGTCGAACGGGATTTCGTCGATTGGTATGGGTTTTGGCATTTACTGGGCGGCGTAGATCCGGTGTGATGCCAGGATTGGCAGCCAGGAAGCCTTTAGGGATGCATCAGGAGAAGCCCAAAGCCATGCAAAATTGTCATCGCATCAACACCAAGCTCGAGAAACATGGGAGTCTCAAAAGTCCTTTGAACAGGTATTCTATTAATTACCACAATTAACCCCAAACCCCTCATTCATTAATCCTCATCAAACCGCTCCCCTTCATAATATTCATATGCAAGAAGTGATTAAAAGTTCCAACGCCGTGTGTCCCGTCCCTCAAAAATTCATCATACACATTTTTGCGCTCGTCATTAAAAGCGTGAAACCCGTGAAAACCCATTATGCAAGTTGCTTTGCGTTTACAGCAAGAAGAGACCGGCGACGCCAAAGGCGAGGAGGCCGGCGGCGGAGCCCTTGAGCGCGACCTTGTCGGCGGCGGCGGTGGGGACCGTGACGGGGCCGGAGGTGGTCGCGTTGGGGGCGGAGGTGTAGTAGGTCTGGGTGGCGGTGGAGGTGGCAAGGGTGGCTGTTAGTTGTTAGTCTTCCGTTTCCCACTTCGAGACACCAGGAAAAGAAGAAAACTCACTGTTGATGGGGGCGGTGAAGGTAGGCAGCGTCACGACGGGGTCGGAGACGGACGAGAGCGAGGGGAAGGGGACGGGGGGCACGGCGATGGTGGTGGTGGTGACGCCGCTCTCGACGGTGGAGGTGCCGACGGAGACGGTGACGGTGGTGCTCGGCTCCGGGGTGGCGTCGGCGGCGGAGGAGGAGGCGCCCGGGGTGACGGTCAGGGTCGTCTCGGGGACGGTGGCGGTGACGGTCACGGAGGGGGTGGGCTCCGGGAAGACGGGGAGGGTGATTGTGGTGGTGACGCCGTTGGTAAGGACGATGGAGGTGATGTCCTGAGCGGCGGCCAGGGTGGCGGCGGCGGCGGCGAGGATGGAGGCGGAGCGCATTTTGGCTGGTTTGTTGTTTTGGGGGTTTGGTGGGAGTGTGGGTGTGGTGAGGTGAGGCGGAGAGGAAGCGACTGATGGGCTTGTGAAGAGCGAGGTTGTTGATGTTGTTGCTGTTGGGGATGAGGCACAAGAGAGGATGGAATGATCACGAAGGGATGGGGATGGATATATACTGGCGGGATTCACACAAACACCAAGACTTTCAGATGGTGTGACGAGCGAGAGCAGAGAAAGAGTAGAGGCCACCCCCCGTACGACGACTACGTATGTTTGCGCATTGTGCGAGTCGGTGACAGCAGCGATGCCAAGAATGGCGATTTCTGCGTGTTTCCCCCCTCCCACCTCTCCTCCCCAGGCGCACGACATCATCTTTGGGACTGCCAGGGTGGGACTCTGCCAGCTGGGTGGTGTTTGGTTGGTCGCAGCAAGGCGAACAGGTATCCGGCCGGTACATACATCATGGGTATCCGTAAAGAGAAGGGTTGGGCTCTGTCTTCCAGGTGTGGGGGGAGGGGGGCAGCCGTTTCCCGTGCATGCAGGAAGCAGGTTGTCTTTCCAACGGTCGATTCGACGACGGGCAAAGCAAGACTCGGTGATGTCTACCGCCTGGGTTCCTGGTTCTGGACCACGGGTTGCAAGGCCGGCGACCTCCCCCCCCCTGGCTCCGACGAACCAGGAACCCTGTTTTGCCTTGAGCCCGCCTTACCATAACCCCCCCTGCTGGCCGACCCGGTGGGCTACCTACGTCGAAAGTTTGCACAACGTTGAAGAGGTCGACGCGAGATGGCTGGGATGTGAAGTGGTCGTCGTGATGGAGGGGGATTTACCCGATGGCTGGGGATGGGGGGATGGGGGGATGGGGGGATGGGGATTGCTTCAAACTTGCACCCAGCGAACAGGAACCGCAGAACCCAAGTTCGGTATGAACAAAATCGAGAAGTGATGGACGCCCACCACCTCTTTTTTTGCGCTTCTCCCGTCCGAACGTTTCATGTAGCTGCCATCTCATCTCATTGGCAGAACCCGATGCACATCAGCTTAATTCTGGTGACAGAGTTCTGACGAACACCGAGAAACTCTGCCACTGAAGCCAGGAAGCCCAGCCCGGACGGAGGCATGGGGATGAACCTCATCTCAAGCGAATCAGCAGATCGAGGTAGTGACGCCTGCCAACACTCTCGCACCCTGCCGAAATCCCGTCCGCGCACCAAAACCCTCGAAGCATTCAGCATTCATCTCGTCATCTCGGGTCCAGGGTAGATTGAGGGGTTTGTGTGTGACACGGCAAATCATGAATGAGCAAACGAACGGAAAATCCCCTCCCTCGCAGAAACCCAGATTGCTTGTTTCCTTTGCTGCTAAGATTCGATGGTCGCGCCGCGCAACCGAGCAGGCACTGCGCTCCGGACACCAGAAAAAAGTTGGCGATACCCGATGTCGTGCTCTGTTGCGTCATACCCGGACGAGAAGACCTGCCAGCACAAGTGTACCGGCAGTGTAAACAGCGAAAGACAACACCCTGCCAGGATCGAAAGGCCTTGGAGGGCGGCTGCATCGGCTCTCAGCCCGTGACCTGACTGGCCCATCCCCTCAGCCCAATGCCATGGCATTTCCCTTTCTCTCTCCCACAGACACCTCACCTTCTTCCCATGCATCACATCATGCCCGAATCGACTTCACAGGTTCCTGGGACCTGACCCTGACTGGCCACGAGCGAGGTGACGGAAACAAAAAGAGGGTGGCAGGGACAGGGGCGCCGTGTCCCGCCCATCGTTTGCAAGGATCCCAACCAGGTTTTCCTGCTCTGCCTGTCTACACTACCATTCCCGTCACCGTCACCGCCAGCAGCACCCCAGCCACGCTTCAACTACTCCATCCAATGAGACCGCGAGAACGACACACCAGCCACCTCTTCATCCTGACGTCTCCGTACAACAGCTGCACAACCCCGGTCTGCAAGCCACATCATTTTTCCAGACAACCCCACGAATGAAAGCCGCAGACACCGCTGGACATCGTCGTCGTCACGTCAGGCCCGTTTGGCAGGCCTGGCAAGGCGAGCTAGCCCATGCGGTGACGGTGACGGGGCCGGCTGTCAGCTTCACGGAGGGGAGGGAAAAATAAGGACGCACTGCATTCCCTGATTTTGGCATCTGCGCCTTGCTCTCAGGCCGCGATGCCGATGCAGCGGGAGCTTGTCTAGCAGGTTCCCTCCGTGGGCCAGGCCTTGCTCGCTAGTGCCCTCTCTCGCAAGGAACCGAGACCGCCTGGTGACCCATGTCCGGCTCAGCTCAGGTCGATGAATTTTGTCGTCTTCTTGTATCCTTAGAGTTGAGCGAGTGAATGCAATTAGGATAGAACAATCCAGAGACAGAAACGCTGTGCAAAGAGCAGGCCTTCTAGAAAGCCATCGGAAACATTGGCCCAAACAGCACCAAGTCCGCATCTAAACACATCACATCAGAAGACGCATTGCAAAAACAACAACAATATAACGACAAAGCATATGGACATTGATATCTAACTCGTCTTGTATCTTCTTTTTTGGTCCTTTCATCCTCGGCATCCACACATTCTAACCCCCGTTTATGACGACTCCACATTCGCAAACAAAAAGTTGGGCGCGCCGGGAACCGCTCCCTCGGCGTTGGGCGGCAGGTTCTCCACCGTCGCCCCGGAAATCAGATCCGTGCCCTTCTTGCTGCCCTCCTCGACCGCCACGATCGACACCTCGACAAGGTTCGCGCTGCGCTTCAGGCCGTCCACCATGTCCACTAGCACGGCCTTCTCGTCGAACGCGAGCTTGCGCTCGAGCACCGCGTTGGCCGGCTCGCCCGCTTGCAGACGCCTCTTGAGGCCCTGCACGAACGGCATCGCCTTCTTCATCTCGCCCATCTTGGCAATCTTGCCGTTGAGCGCCTTGTCGTCCACCGAGTTCGTCGCGGGGTTCCACATCTCCTTGAGCAGGTCGATGTAGGCCTGCTGCCACTGCGGGAAGCTCTCGCTCATGAAGACGGTGAGCTTCTTGGGCTTCTTGGGGTCGAACGACGTCTCCTTGCCCTTGGCCTTCTTCTTCAGCTGCAGGGACTCGGCAGAGTTGACGTTGGACGCCGTGACGGAGATGTACTTGCGCGCCGCGGTGAGGGCGGCGTCCGTCTCGGGGATCTCGGGGAAGGTCGCCTGCTGGATCGACGTCGGCTTGCCGAGGATCTCGACCCACACGGACTCGGCCCAGTGGGGCGCGACGACGGCGATGAGCAGACACTGGAGCTCGATGAAGCGGATGACCAGGTCATGGTGCATCTTGATCAACGAGCAGCTCTCACGGTAGAAAGACAGGGCGTTGTTGAAGCTGTGTAGTGTGTTAGCTTGCTTCGTATGTTATTGACGTGAAACTTACTCGTAGAAGGAGGCCTTGAGGGCCAGCTTGTACGAAGTGTCGGTGTACTGCTGGATGGCCTCCTTGGCAATAACGTTC